GGAAAGGGAGGAAAAAGGGGGGGCATGACTGGCGGCGGAGCCGAGGAGGGCGGCTCCAAAGGTAGCCCCTCCACCGTCGCCGACAACAACGCCCCTGCCGCCACTGACCCAGCGAAGCGGGCCAAGGTGGGAATGGTCGGGACGAAGACTCGCAGCAGTGCGAAGGGCGGTGCCGGCGGCGGCGCGAAGGACGATGATGAGGAATAGGGGCGCGGGCCCTGCCCCCCGGGGGGGGGAAGGGCCGTCTTTCGATGTCGCCGGCGGCGTGGTCTCGGGTCCGAGCACGCACCTCCTACGACCAGGGGCGGCTACTGCGTTGACCCGAGGTGGGGTTGGTATTTTAGATGGCAATGATGTTAGGCGTATTGTTTCCATGGTACATGCTATGTCTCAGACCGTCGCGCAAGGCACACCACGTGCAACCGTACTTGCTTAGATCGCGGTGAAGTGTTTTCGGTTTTTGTCTCGGCATGGGGGCAGCTTTGAATGCATGAAAGCCATCGAAAACGGCATCGGGGTGCCGCGGGTACGGCCTGAATGTATTCGGTTTTGGTTTGGACGCTTGGAGGGTTTTCCTCACACAGAGACTGTCGCTGCTTTCGTGAAACGTGGCGCCGTAGTGCCCGTGTGTGGGTCTGCCGAAATCGCAGCAGCGCTATCGTATGGTAACCACCGTAGTGTCGTCCCACATTCTGACACTATTCTCCGGAAAGCGTTTGATGACGTGCGGTTCGGGCGGGCGTTCGTGTTTCCAAAGACAGAGGCAGAATCGATCCCGGGGTTGCGGTTGTCGCCGCTAGGTGTAGTCGTGTCGCCTGAGAAAATTCGGATTATCCATGACTTGACGTTTGAATGCTCACCCGTGTCGCGTAGTGTCAATGCCGACACGGATTCAGAGGCGGCGCCGAAAGTCGAGTTAGGTCACGTGTTGCGGGACATCGTGTGGCGCATTTTATGGTTGCGGAGGACGTACGGACCATCGGCCCGGATTGTGTTAAGCAAAATTGACGTGACGGACGCGTTTCGACAGGTTGCGGTTCAATGGTCGGGAGCTCCCGTGTTCGGCTACTCAGTTGGGGACCTTGTCGTGGTAGATCGGCGCTTGGTGTTTGGGTGGTGCAATTCGCCTGGCAATTTTTGTGTCATGACTGCCGCGTTGGAGCACTCTCACAATCACACGTCTGTGGATAATGCAGTGGTCACTGAGCTTGGCCGGACGGCTACGAACCATGTTGAGGTTCCGTTACCTAGCGAACGAGAATCGCCACCCCCATNGATCGGCGCTTGGTGTTTGGGTGGTGCAATTCGCCTGGCAATTTTTGTGTCATGACTGCCGCGTTGGAGCACTCTCACAATCACACGTCTGTGGATAATGCAGTGGTCACTGAGCTTGCCCGGACGGCTACGAACCATGTTGAGGTTCCGTTACCTAGCGAACGAGAGACGCCACCCCCACTCCCCCTGGGTGTCGCATCCCCCCCGGTTCGGGGGGCGGTCATTCTGACTCGTCTTTGTTGTGCGGTTCTATGTCGACGATGGTATTCTTGTGGAAGTGATGTGGAGCCCGACTGGGGACCGGTGTAAAGTAGCTTCCGCGTCGTGTGCATCGGACCATTTCCGGGTGTTTGGGGCGCGGGGGTCAAGGGACCCTCC